TCCAAAAAATAAAAATAAAAATATGGTAATACAATTGAAAGTTGTGAAAATGGCGGTCCCAAACATCTAAAAAGTTACCTGTTCAAGTGATCCACTTTCAGGTTTTTCGGTTTCGCTGGAACAGCAGGCTTCTCCTTTTTGATTTCAGTATCGTGTGTGAGTATGTTTCGTTCCTCACTGGGCATCGGATGCACCTGAAACAATTACGGTAACGAGGATGAGACAGAAACAAATTCAAAAAAGGGCATTTTTTGAACGAACAGACGCGCAAAGTAATCTGTACATGTATGCACTCAAGTGAAACGCCGCCACGGCCATTCACACATGTCTGTATGTATCAGCGATCGAAGAAAATTGAATACTCAGGCCTAAGAAATGCTTTCCTGCTCTCTTATTTGCTCGATTGCCTACGAGAAAGGGCACTTCGTCGTCGCGAAAGACCTCGTATAACTCATATGTTTACTTTTCTTAACAAGTCGGTAAAAAAAAACGCTCCCAGGCATAAAGAGGAGGAAGAAGGAGGAAGAGGATGCTGAGGAGGAGGAAGGCGGTCCTGTATTTTAAAAGCATAACTACATCTTCGGACATGCAAAACCAGCCACCCACTTGAAAGCTCAGTTTCTATTAATAAGCCAATAAAAAGCTAAGCTCATGTAAAAAGAAACCTTCGAAGAGGTAGAAATCAGAGCAAATTAGCCTCGTACTGCCCACAGGAGGAGAAGTTCTTTAAAGTGCTCATCCCTGTTGAAATGAATATCATCAAGTGTTACGACGAACTCACCTCCACAGTAGGTTTAGTGTGAAGAGGTGGAGGAGGCGTAGAGCTGCTGGATAAGGACGTATTGGTGATGTCTAACGAGCTCATCGAAGTCGAAAAAGTTGAATTTAACCTGAAATTCAAAAATCATTTTGGGAATTCTTTAGGGGTTTTAATTGCGGTAGTTTTCACAATTTCGATTGAATATTGACTTTTGCAAGGAAAAAGTACCGCTTCCCAGAGGGAAGATGGGTAAATTGCTGATGTAATTTGACGTAGCGCTCGAAATAAAATAACTGTGGACAGCTTCGGATACGAATTAAGGCCAAGGAGGTGCGTAGACGTGTCCACTCTATTGAACTCAGTCGCAGGAAGGATTTGACAACATGCCGATTGGTCCTTCACCGAGAACGGCCACTCAAGTGGCTGTACGACTTTTTGTTCGTTTTCCCATTGAAATGCACGCAAAACAGCAACACAAGATCGAGCAGTGGGGCAAAACTGGAAAATGGGCGCACACACGAATTCATACGGTCGCAATCTTGGACAGCAAACATATGTAGCCCTTGCCTCAAAGGCACGCGCGATACCCGACTGAAGAGCTTAGCTACCGCAAAGGAACATAGAACCGGCAGCGCAAGCCCTAGGTATTCAAATATTTATTTGGATGGGAAAGGGCTTCAAACAACCGATTTTAGAAATAGCTATTCTCTGTAATCACCGTTATGTTATGCGCCTATGAGCGCACTACTGTACCCCACTACAAAATCTCAGCCCCAGGTTCATAGAAATGGTAACAAATAGACAAAGAGAAGGAAATTCCAGATAGGAACACCACAATAAAAAGAGATGGGTCGACATTCCACCAACAAAAGATGGAGTTGGACCACTTCCTTTTTCAGTTTCCAGTAACCCTCTTAAATACCAGTTTGATGAGGAGCTGCAGGAGGTATAAAACCTAAGAAAAGGCAAACGTTTTTCGAAGAAGAGGAGCACAAAAATCACAAAACAACCTCGGTTGAGCCCGGTGTTACATTCCGAAGCGTCTCTAAAGCCCCAATCTTGAAGCCCATCGAACCCAAAGAATGAATAAGAGTTAAATGACTACGAAGAGAATAAAAAACGAGATGCGGAATAGAAAAATGAGTTAGGACTAGTAAGGTGGTCTCCGCTGGGAAAGAAAGAGACGCCGAACGTAACTGTAGAAAAAGAGACAGGCAGAAGGAAAAGGGAAGTTGACAGGATTGGGTGAAAGGTACAAAAAGTAGCAAAGATCCGTACCATGCAAAAACCTTACCCAACTAGTTTTTTCAAAAGACCAGAACTTTGCATAATAGTTCCTGACATTCGTCTTCCTAAAATCCATAAGTTCACCATGAAAATCATAGCGCTCACATTTCAACGGTGACCAGATCTTTTCGGAACATGAGGAGAATACAGAACGATCATTTATCAAGGAGTAGGAGTTCTAGATTCCCAAGTGGAAAATTATCACAATTGTGTTCAAAAACATTGAGCTTTCTGGACAACTATCCTCCAGCCCACTGCTTTTAAGAAACTGAAGAGTGAGGAAATGCGTAATTGCAGCTGTCGGAAAAAAACAGTTCCAAGGCGGTAGCCAAGCAGTTGAAGAATTTGACAGCTACTAGTAACGGTTTCCAAGAAATCCTCTGCTGTGCCCCCTTGTGAGGCGCAGATAATAGCCTTTGGCATAGTGTAACAGACAGCAATATCGTCTGCACAGCAATATCAGTGTGGGCTCTTCCTAACCCTTACGAATCGATGGTAAAAATATCTTTCGAAACTCCCACGGAACATTTTTGTATGAAAACTACTTTTCAAACTTAGAACCAATAAAAGCGCAGAGGCAACTAGCAACAGGTATGTGGGCGACAGTGAATCATACTTCAACTTCACATAAAGTCTAATGCGTCACTTTGATGTCTTGAAGATTACACACATATTTTCAAAATAACAAAAAAACACGCCGTTCATAATTTTGTAGGTCACTCAGTGCAAAATTAACTTCTCAAATCTGCGTAGAGATTGGAATGAATGCTTTTTCTCCTTAGCGTCAGCTAATCACAATGTTCCCGCTGTGATAAATAGCACTTTGACCCATGGTCTTCAACAGAAAAACAAGCTGCAGATAAGCGACGATGAACCGTTCTAAATTACTACCCTAAAACATCTCGAGTACCCGAAAAGAAAAAAAGCGACATGAAAGACGAACTCCCGACATCCTCTCAATACCGACTTATTTATAGGGTGCTACGCTGTCACCAACCCACATACATACTTTTAGCCCTTTCCTATGCGTTCAAAGTTGTGAAGAAGTCTGAATTGGAGCACCTTTTGGAAAATGATTCAGTAACTTTGGGAAAAGTAAGTAGATCAGCCATTACAGACAGACAGTGGCACAAATTTTATTGAAAGCTACCTCAAAATGAGCCGCTTCCCTGGGTAGGGTCTGAATAACGCCGCTGGTAGTTGGGGAAGTTCACACAAGACGACAGATCCTTAGGAGAAACAAGACAAGCACAACGCTATGACAAGAGCTGACTCAAAAGTAGACCAGGAAATGTACGACGATAACACTGATTGTAGTCAGACGGAAGCACGGAATAAGCCCATCCCTTCTTAATTTCCCAAACGACAAGCAGCCGATGTTGATTTACCAGTGCTACTTATCTGATATGGACCGAAAATGCTGCTGCCTCGGCAAAACTCGATACTGAGAAATGGCGATGCCAGCCAGAAAACACAAAGGCAAACACGTTGGGCATGAGTCTCATTAAACCGAAAACGGTAGGAATACATCATATTATGGAACAATTGCCAACAAAAGCGAAAAAACCAAGGATGATAGCCTATGAATTGCTTTTAAACGTCGCCTTTCCTCACAGTTCCACTGGAACACATTCCGCGTTCACCAGAAACTTCACTAAAGGCGATCAGTGGATGTAAATGGAAAACTCCATCTCAGATAAGAAAGTAATCAATGGAAAGAACCGACTACTGTTGCCCAATCGCGAATGTATTCAATTGTGACCTAAAGACGGCGCGATGAAATAGGCTACAATCTAACAGGCTCGAGAAAATTACTGAAAAAAGCCCAATGTACAAGACACGACCTAGTTACAAATAGCAAGAAGGAAATAGAGGAACAACCGAAAAAAAGAGTATCCTGTCTCTGGCTAAAAAGCGCACAATCAACCGAATCTGTGATTTTGGGCTCCTAAACTCAGCAAAAAGCCAAAGAGCTGGGCAGAGCCAGAGCAAAAACTCCGCTCTGATTTGTTCAAGTGGCAGACAAAAAACTTGAGCGGCACCTTCAAAAACTAACATTACTACGTGGGATTTTGGGACGAAGTATTTTAGAAGGACTGGCCATTACTGAAGAATTTGATTCCACAACTCATGTAACCCAGAGTACAAATAAATAGCATAACCAAAACCTCAAGTCAAAAAGACCCACGGAGGGAAATGGGAAGCAGACGTCTGAGTAAGACGATAGATTGGAGAATGGGATAGAATCACTTACTATGACCCGTTCAAGTTCAGACACACTTGAGTACCCGAATGACCCCCATTTATTACAATTACCGATGAAAACTCAATTGAAATGGGAGCATTTCCTTATCGGGTCATCTTGAACGTTACTTACGCGGACGGAGGAGGTGGGATGAGGAGTGAAAAAGAGTCGAAGCAAAAAGCCCACGAACACTGTGTCACGCACGCAGGCGCAAATACGGCCACGTTTACCTTTCGATTATACCCTGAGAAGAAAGAAATTTCTCGTCAGATTGATGAGAAAAATAATCGGAACACAAATATGTAGCCTCACGCTACCCAATATAGGATCGCTTCTCTTTCTGTAATAACAGACATTATAGAATCCGCACACACCGTACTGTGGGAATCAAAATCCTGACGAAAATAAGGCGGCCTATTTCTTGAAGAGCGCCTTCATAAAAACTTCAGAAGGCTATCGAACTGAGGACACTCATCGCCTCAAGTGACCTAACTCTTCAGCGGAGCAGCACCCTTCCCAACCTTACCATTCAATCTAACCCTTTCATCCCGAATCCTGAGGTTTATAAGGACAGACCGACCTCTTTTCGAACCAAATTTTCTTTACTATATGTCTTTCTGCTTCTGTTCCGTTTTCCTTTTCTCCTTCCATCTCTCATTTTAGCCCTTGATGAGAAGTAAAAGGAAAATGAAAGGAAACTACGTCCAAAGCAGTTAAAAAGAACGATACATCTACGATTGAGGCACATAACATTAGGGGAAACTCGTGAGAGGATCAGGATTGGCTTCAATCCCATTTATTTGGATGTTGTCCTAGATTGAATGGAACATGGGTCTGAAAGGGACAATGGGGTAAAGAGACGAGGTTTTCGAGGAAACTTGGAAGGACGCAAATACTGTTCAACAAACATTTTCTATCTAATCCTATACCGCAACTCGATTTGTAGGGACACCGTTAAATAAGAGCGTGTAAGACGCATAGGCATGTATAAAACCAAATGAAAATACAAAAAAAGGAAGGCATTGCTTCTTTGAAAGCTTCGTCGATGACTCACATCCACCGTATCTCGCATACCCCAATGCTTGTTTCACATCAATGCACTTCTAGCCTCTCATGAAACAAATTTTGGCAGTTGTAAAAATACCAAGAGTTCTTCACAGCTTTCGTGGAGAGAAGAGCACTACATAAAAAGCCTTATACAATGTGGTCTGTGCTCATATATCCAGGCCTAAGAATATCCCCAACCGGTTATGAAGCCCACTCCACTTCCGCGCGGCTAGTCATAGTCATAGACAGGAAACGAATGTGTACTGAGGTGATGGCGGATGGAGATAGTTGAAGAATTCCATGAATGAATCGAAAGATCTGCCGCTACGGCAGTGATCGTATCGTGAAGGCATGGCGGTGAAGTAAGCGCCATCTACGACGTATAAATCGTTCGGACGACAAATTTTAATCACTCTCAACTAGAATCAATTCCTAGAGAGAGATAGCAAGAGATATGGATCAGAGACAAAATGGGCACAGATTGGGTGAGCGCGCCTGAGAGAGCGATACGCGAAAGTAAGAGTGGACCTTGACAGGAGCCGTACATTGTAATAATCTCATATGGTACGGAATGTTTTTCTCGAAGCTAGCGATGGAGAAAGTAGCGCAATAATCGGGATTAGTCTCGCTGTACTCTATTACGACAGGAACCTCGTAACCAACTTCCCGAACCACAGGAATAGGGACGGCAATAAAGGTTGTAGAAAAATTACAAGCTGTAGAAAAGTTTCTAATTCAATAACACTCAGGAATGTCCAATCACAGAGCATATAGAAGATTAATGAAGGACAACGACCATGGGAAATGCTCAAGAACCAACTGATAAAGTTTTGCACAACTGTGAAAAAAAAATTATAAAAACCAGAATGGCCTACATGAACAGTTGGAAAATTCCGCGGATCACTAACAATTTTAAAAGAAGAATTACCACTTTCGAAAGGTCTCCGAAACCTCTGAAGAGTACCTGGTATTTCAACAGTAATAATCGGGACGTGAATTGGGTTATCGTAGACGAGATCTATTGAAATGTAGAGGAGATGGTGATGTCGTAAGAGGTATGAGGTCATGACGTGAATTAATGGGATATAGCGCCTATTACGACTAGTCCACAAATGGATGGATCTAAACCTGGCACCTTTACAACCAGTAGGGGATCCCCAGTGCGACAAAACGTCTGCCTCAACTTTCAAAGTACTCAAAAGAAACGAGAAAAATAAGAAAAAAACATTTGAACGATGTGGTGGTACCAGTTTAGGTGAAAATGTGGAGAAGTAGGATTGTCAAAATACTGATCACGAGCGAATCTTCTGCTTTCCTTCTGATATGATACCTTTATTTTATGATATTGTTATTTCGACAATTATAATACGATAAAATACTATAGACCTCCAAATTTTACCGTAATCCCACTATTGCAACATTAGTAGTGCTGCTAATGGCGAAAAGTTGTAAAGCGTCAAGAATTGGTAAAATATAATTGAAGTCGATAAGATGATGGTGGGGTTATGGGGTTGTATTGAAATTTTTTTGCTGTTCCGAGTATGTAAGTCCTGCAATCAAACCCTACCCATACGAAATTAGTCAGCCAAATTCCAAATATGATGAAAATGTGTGGTATGCGCGAATGCTGATAAGGTAAGTAAATACATCATCAAGGAGCTCCTAGATGGGTGCATGGGGTCTTGGAAGTACAACGGACACGCAAGATACCTGCAGAATACCATCGCTGGCTCGGATCCTTTTCGAAGCCGAACACTTTACTCATTAACTAACACCCTCGCGATAATGGGAGTAGTATAAGAAATTGCTGAGCGGTAGCTTACTTAATTGTCAGATTATTCAAACTGTTTTTTACTTTTCTCGAGAGTCGTGAATGAAAAACCATACTACGGTACTCAATGCTTTGGGAATTTGAAATTCGAAACTTAAGAATTCATAAATGGGCATATGCACAGCTGGGAATGTTTGACGAATGTGCGATGGCGCGTGCGAACCCCACTCCACTGTGCTGCGCAGTGGCGGGAGTCAGCGTACACGCGAAGGCCCGCGCGAATTCCAGAAATTCCTTTCTTGAAACAACCGTCATAAACGGTGTGTTTCGCATATGTAGTGGAATTCCAGCAGCATTCACACGTACATAATACGATCCAGTTGGGAACGAGAAATTACGTGCCCATGAAGCAGCGCAAACAAAGAACAACATAGAAGGAAGCCAATAAGCCATTTATGTAAGAAAAGCAATTGACTCACCTCGGCTGCGGAACTGGTACGAACGACGAGTCAAAATCCGGAAGAATTGATTGATAGGCACCAGAATCTATCAAGGACCGATAATTGCTCTCATTTGGAGTTGTTGTTGATGCTGTCGATGGCGTAGGGCTGGTAGAAGCGGAGGCAGAAGCAAGAAATGGAGACGGCCTCGAGCCTCTTGAAAATTGTGGTAATGATTTTTTAAAACAACAAAAAAAACCTCCATAACAAAACAAGAAAGAACAGATAAGTGTGCTTACTGTTCCTCTCGACGCTGACGTATCTTTCGCTTGGCTCCAGAAGGACTACGGTGTAACATCACTGGTATTTCTTGCGGGAAGAATGTCCGCGACGGCTGGAATTATACAAGTCGACCATCCGTATTGCTGTCAGGTATAAATACAGAGCAGAGGATATGAAAGTAATACTTCACAATAGAAACTTCTGAGAAATCTTCAAACTTGAGTTTTCAAGTGGTAACATAGGCATAAATCGTCCGATATTTTTGTTGTAAGTCTAAATATCAGTTGTTGTTATTCGCTTTGGGTAAAGAAGATTATCTATTAGAGAGAAGCAAAAATTTCCAGAACTCCAGAATTTCCAGAAAAAAGAACAGAAAATATTGGAACGACTATAACTTGAACACTTGTAATCCTACATAGCAGAAACAGCTGTCAGCGGACTTCCTACGACTATAACTTTCATTGATGGTCTCTAATTAAGGGAAAATTTACGTAGAATGTGAATTAAACAAATAAAGTAAAAATTATTTGAGGCATTGTGATTGCTCTGAGTACAATGGCGGAGCTCCTATAGCGCGAAGTTCATGCTAAAATCAAATAGAAAAGGGCAGCTGACCGTCCGAGTTCGTCTAAAAGACGAAATAATAGTGAAACAGCAGCCCCCATTGGGGTCTCGAAGGAATCTGCCAGTTCCGGTTCGATTTCACGCATGAATGACACTATCTTCCAATCTAGTCAAAAATTGTAGCCAGACGTCCACAAAAAAAAAGTTGCCGAAAACATTGCGAACAATACAGAATTCATTCGTGGTAACGCAACCAAACCACAATATTTTTTTTGTTTTTTTCATAAAGGCCGTGCCATTCCACCACGAATGATTAAGGCTTCTTGATTGTATGGCGATGGCAGAATTAGTCAACATCAAATAATTAGCACAAAATCAATCAATCAATACTTACAATAAGGGCCAATTCAAAGAACGGTCAAAGAAAAAAATGTGGCGATAAAGCTACAATCATTCAAAAAAAAAAACACTTGTACGAGTCAAAACAGTTTCGAGTCATTTGTAGAGCTTTGTTGATACGTAAAACTGTTCTGCATACATTTAGGCCATTATAAGGCTTTCCGCTCACAGCAACTGTATCGCCAATATACTGAAGGAGCACACATTAGAATAAAAAGTCTACCGTACCTTCTGAATATCGATGTATTTTAAACATATTGCTATGCAGAGAAGAAAAAAGAGATATGCTTCGAAAAAAAGAGAACATTCAAAAAAAGAAAAAAAAATCCGTACTCCCAAACGCTAATAAGAGATAATAACATATTGGGAATATCGGCATTAGAACATTAGAAAGAAAAATGAGCAGATAGCTTTTCACTGCGGTTGTCAAAACATTCGTCCCCTGTCGTTCCTACACCAGAACACTCATTAGTATAAAAAATAATGCAAGTGATAGCTAAGTTTTAATCATTTTCAACCCGAGCCGGCACTAAAACTTGATGCACTAGAATTTGTAAGTTACTTGTTTCAGAATTTGCGTACGTGACGGATTTTTACCTCTCTAGTTTCCTCACTGCACTAGGAGGACAACTATCGACTGAATACCCATCAAAACCTATTACTGTAAAGTCGTAAAGTAAAGTTAAAGTTTGAATACTGTAAAGTCTCCTATCCATGGAGGGATTATAGAGAACAACCGACTTTGTGCTTACAACTGATAAGACCACAATGGGCAAAATTTGAAACTATGCGTGGGGAAAAGCCAATCACAAGCTTAAGCGGTAGCGCGGTTATTAATAGAATAACAGAAGGAAAATAATAATTGTTATTATATTAGCCGTAGGAAATCAACGATCAATGGGAGTACAGGTGATAATAGCCGTATACCACAAATAAGACGGAGGAAGAAGGTTATACACAAAGTAACCTCGCGCAATGATGTCGCATATTACCAACCGCTAGATGGAGTTTATACAACACTCCCAAACTCGTTTCACATGAGGAACAATGAGGACCTGTTTAGTTGAGGAAGAAAACAAGTAATAAAATCAAGGAGAGTTTCTACATCTTCGCAGCATTCCCAATTCACCACCATCTAAAATGATCGGAAAGTTTTGATTTTCTTCGTGGAATCCCGTCGAAGCAGCTGTCCACTGGAAACTAATAGTGACAGTCGTTAATAATGCATATATATTGGAGAACAATCGATTGAGCAGGTTTAGGTGGGCAGAGTGAGAGCACTTACTCATAGCTTTACAACTCATGCGTTTCCATTATATAAACGGGAATAAAAATAAATTTTGAAAGGTGGTATTGAAATCTGCCTCAGAATCAGAACCGGTACAAGTGCATGATTGTTATTCGAAGTATATGTAGCTAGATGAAGGAAGCCTCAAACAAATTGGTTACCACTCAAAATGAACAATGAATTCTAGAAGGTTACCTGAAAAAAACTCCCGGTCTCTTTCTTATTGTAAACGGCATGTTGGTTAGTTTTGTATTGTAATGCCTCGAGGTAATTTCAAATAAACAAATATTGTCGAAANGAGAGCACTTACTCATAGCTTTACAACTCATGCGTTTCCATTATATAAACGGGAATAAAAATAAATTTTGAAAGATGGTATTGAAATCTGCCTCAGAATCAGAACCGGTTCAAGTGCATGATTGTTATTCGAAGTATATGTAGCTAGCTGAAGGAAGCCTCAAACAAATTGGTTACCACTCAAAATGAACAATGAATCATTCTGGAAGGTTACCTGAAAAAACTCTCGGTCTCTTTCTTATTGTAAACGGCATGTTGGTTAGTTTTGTATTGTAATGCCTCGAGGTAATTTCAAATAAACAAATATTGTCGAAAATACCGAAAGTTTTTGTAAAACTTAGAAAAAATCATTGACGAGTCGTACGTTGAAATGAAAAAGGAAAACACTAGTCGCACCTTGAAATGGATCGATAAGTCGTACACAAAGCCATTTTGGTGGGTCGGGAGGGGTTGTCTATTCATGGTTTATTTTTAGAACGTGTTTTTAGGAGAAAGGAAGTAGGAGGTCAAGGAAGACTCGCTTTTAAGAAACCCTAAACGCAGTAAGACATTTGGAATTGAAAACACCCTCGTCTTTCAATAGCAAATTGATAAGAGGTGTAAGGACCAACTCGCAAACCTTTTTCAGCTATAATTCGTAGAAAACCATTTCCATGGCATATAAGGTAATAGAAAATAATGCACACTAAGTGTAAAAGATAGAAAAAAACGATAAAAAAAAATTGTATAAGCATCGTTTCAAAGGGGTGGTCAAAAGGAAAACGAATATTTACGGTTGAATATTTTCGCAACCAAAGGTACGAATGAAAAATGCAAAGGCGGGTGCACGGTATTGAGAGTCTGTACGACAAGCAACAGGTTCAATATATCCGTTAAAGCTACAAGAGGCATTGTGTGGCCCAAAACAGCTACAGCCAGCGAGGCAGGACAAATGCGATGACGTAATGGAACAGGAATTTCGGTATGAGTCACCCACATGGGCCGATGACAATTCCACCCAAAACCCCAACGAATTATTGACATTGACCCGGAATAATTCGAGAAATGCACAAGTACTAACACATCATGTTCGAAATTCAGGAAAAGGACTAACCTTCATGATTGCCTTGGCTTCTTGTTCTGAACAACGGCAATGACGAACCGATGGGCACTGGAATTGTTTGGAGGTTTTTCAAAAAAATTATAACGAAACGATTGGACAGATGGTGTGCGGTACGTAGCGGGAGGCGGGTGGTGGCTGTAGTGGGGGGGCCTTTGTTGGTTGGATGCCTGGCCACGGACGGCTAAGGTCACCTCGGCACCGCCTTCGTAACGCATACCGTGGCAATTAACGAACGTACAACGACGACGACGACGACACTCAACAACGATGAATCTTCATTCTCATAATGTACATACAATAAAGAATTGAGGTTTGACGAGAAAATTATGACCGGTCGTGAGCAGGTCCCGTCGCGAAAAAATGTCACGGAAAACAGGTGTCATCGAATAAAAATGAGCAGGAGATTGAAGAAACTGGACGTATCTGGTCAATTAGATCCCATCTAATACTGAAGGGCAATTCTCAATAGCCCCCGTGAACAGACTCAGCGAACAAGGATTTCGCTAATATCATCGACGAAGAAGGAAATTGCCCAAACAGGGCAAAAATACTTTGACGAGAAGCGATTTATACTTGACGACTGAGACTGAAGGATGTAAAGCACAAAGTGTTAGAAGGTCTCAAGAAGAACAGTACCGACAGTACCAGGTGAAGGTGCGAGGGGAAATGCCCGTTTGTGGCCGTGTAAGCCTGTCTTTATTGATCGATTTCGTAAACGGCACCAGACTGGGGGTGGAGGGTAGGTGCCCCGTCGACAAACATCTGAGTTGGGTCATTACCAAACCTCCAAATCGCAGTTAAGCCGGACCCAAAACACCGGAAAGTTCTCCAACATGGGAAGTCACCTGCGGAATTCTTGATTCTTGCCCAAAGGAACAGTTCAGCGCACAGTATCCAAAAGTAGTTTTTGCGGATATGGAAAATTTCACATGAAGAACTTATTTATTTCGGCGAGAAGGATATCACCGTAGTTATGCAAAAGTTTCCCAAATGCGTAACGTGGGAAGGTAGCTTCACCTAATGTAACTTTCTTGGAAACTGGCTGTAGACATCCTTTCGGAAGGACACGTTCCCATAACAATTTGGAGGGAAATCGTTCTGAGAAGTTTCGATTGGACGAAATGACTTTGAAAAACTCTCGATTTAACCTATATCTTCCCAAATCCCGTTTTTATGTCAAATCTCAATCCACAGATATACGGTTGTTGTGCAACAGAAGAACAAAAATCCTGTACGCACTCAAATTCCTACCGTAAACTAGTCGGGGAATAATTATAGCATGTGTCGTGCAATAAGGAGCGTTACCCGCCACTATTTTGCGACTAGTGCATGTTATTCCACTATGAATAGCAACATTTAGAAATCTGGACTTTGCGCCAGCTTCTTAAATAACCGCGAGTGTTTCATATTTTACGACCACATTTTGCGCCATCGTAAAAGTACAGGGACCCCTGTTTCACCT